GCACGAAACAATTCTTTGTGTGATCCAGAAACTGTGGTTCTGAGTCTGAATGTGATGTGTTTATGTAATTTTTTGTTTTTGAAAATGCAACCACAAAATATGGGAAAATACCGAAACCACTGGTAATCGTTTTAAATGTGTCATGTAGTAGTTAAGTCCTAGGATAAGTTCGTCTGTTCCCGTCCACCTACCAGTTCGCGTCCATTCTAGGGATCGCCATGAAGGTAGGATACGTGAAAAGGTCAAACAGATGTGTACTAAATACTACTTATATGGTGATAGTCTGACAGTTTCTTATTTTCGAAAACTTTTATAGGGCATTCTGTAACATGAACCCTAACTGGAGGGTGGATGCAAACAGGCGAACCCTATAATATCACTACATAGTATAAAACAAAGTCGCTATCTGCCGTCTGTCTGTCCCTATGTATGGTTAGATCTTTAAAACTACGCAACGGATTTTGATGCGGTTTTCTTTAATAGATAGTGATTCTTGAGGAAGGTTTATATATGTTTAATACATGCTTATTGCACCCGTGCGAAGCCGGGGCAGGTCGCTAGTAGCTGATAAATCAGGAATTGGACTATTTTTTTAGACAAGTTAAACACATGGAACACGAGTTTCAAATCAAATGGAATACTATCCAACGAACTGCTATAAATTATGTATTAGTAGTAATTTATAATATCCCAAGAAATAATAGAAATGTTAGCAACAAATATCGTAATAGTTACCTTTTACAACAGAACTTCACGTAATGTGAACATCAAAACTTTGATTATCATGTAGGTGGTGGAAAATTATATCACACCAGAGACTTGTTTGTAAAATACTCATATATTTGAAACGGAAAGTAAAGATATAGAACGTGATCTCATCTTGTGTGATTATGTCAAAATAGAGTTATACGAATTTGTGTACGAAGATTCTCTTTCCATGACTAATTCATGGCTATTTTCAATGACTTATCTGCATAAAGTTTGGTTCTTAGACTGGCTTATATTTAACACAGGTTATACATATACACATGTGTCAATATTATCTTTGTGTACCTAGCTAGTAAATGTTAGGAAGAATGAACGTGAATGATTTTCCGATACCATCAAATACCTTATTCTATTTTTGGTAACTTTCTTGTTAGAGTAATTCTTGTTTTACTGTAGACGTAAAAGGCAAAGCAAAAAGGGCATAGAATACAGAGACTTCGGACTTTTCCCGGTAATCTAAAACTTTTTGCTCCACCGTCACGCTTGTTAACAAATGACTAACGAAGCAGTCACACTCATGAATTTCTTACACCTTACATTTACAAGAAACACGTGACAAGGAAAATGAAACTTATTTACTCAAAGTTCTTAGACAATTTTTACATTTTTTTATCAACCAACTAATCCCTGAGGATTTCCAAAGAGAAACGCACACACAAGGCTGTACCTGTGCTGTGCAACGTCCGCGACTCCGCGTATACGTTTGTTACAAAAAGAACTATTGCATCAACACTGGATGTTGCCAACATTCGCATACAAGAAACCGGTTTTAAAACCAGTTTCTTTTTCTGGACTCCAACCGAAATTATTTGGCGTCAACTACCTAAACGTTTTCAAGAAACCGAATCGATACGTTACTAACTTACTATCTACATTCTGTTTAATTGAAATCGGAAATGGTTTTATGAGAAAAAACAAGGCAACGTGTTCAATTTCCATTATAATACTCTGAACTGCCAAAAAGGATCGAATATTATGAAATAAAAAGCAAAGGACGTCTACCATAGTAAGGGCAAGCATGTTAAGTGTTGTGGGCGCCGGTTTGGCGGCAAAGGCGGTCGGGGCGATGATGTCACCTCGGGCCAGGTCACGTGTACCATGTTTGAATATCATGGATTATACCAGTATAGTCAACGATGACTTTATTGCTCTAACAATGGGACGAAATATCCTGATTAATCACTAGCTGTAAACTTTATCACTCGAAGAACCTTGTTAGGGCATCAATATTATAACATAGCAGCATTAAATAAGAACTGTTATTGTTTCCTATTGATGTTTCAGCCTTGCTTGCTGAGAAAAATTGCAAAAATACAAGGTTTATTACTACAAAAGTCTTGGCTCCGATTACGTCACGCATAAGGATAAACTTCGGGAAATTCTAGCCTTGAGTCACGAGCACGTTCGCAGTTATCCTTCGGAACCAGTCCAGGGACTTTTCCTTGACCCATTTCTTAGGAAAATACGAGTAAATATATCTCAGTTATCGTAAAATCTGTACATACTTATTTTATTGGATTGCGAGACGTAAAATGTAGTGGCTGGTGGCCTTGGTGCCGCTTACTGGTGTTACGCTTAATTGTAGAGACTAAAAACTTTACGACACTATAACAATCTGTTAGTTACTTTAGAATTCAAGTTCCGTTTAAGTAATATGATGAGAAAATTCCCAAAACAAGACAGTATCTCTTCATTAATTATTCAATGAATTCACCTGTTGACTTTCGGGGGGTGAATGAGTAAGGAAAATTGACTTTCGTCACGCAATCCTCATTGTTGACCTAGTTCCCCAAGAAAATTAATAAGTTGACCACCAGTTTAGCCCAAACAAATGTACCCAAATAAACGAACGTTTCACTAAAATTGCTTAACAAATGAACGAAAAACCTGCCATAGATATTTTTGGCCACAAATGTAAGCTTTTAAATGTAATTAATGAAACGAGTATTCTCAATAGAGAAACCAATTTCGTGTTGGGTCGTTAATTAGTGGCTCTAAATGGGACAACACATTCTTTTGGGTCAATAAATATTCCGAGGTATGCGGAAACCATTATTTCGCATATTTTGTGATTTGATTATATTGACCACGTTGAACTAACCTCAAAGGGACCCCTAACCTCACAGATACCGGTGTGGTCTTTTCAAATAGATAGGTTACCTATCTACCGTTTCATCGTTTTAATGATCTACACATCAAATACTTTATCAAAAAACCAATTTACTGGGACATAATTAGGGAATGGTACAGACCTGGCTCATTAAATTCTTATCGAATGATCATTAAAAATAGGTCTTTGTCATACACAACAGCATCAGCGCGTAACTTAGTATTAAATGTAATTATTGTAGTGGCAAGCTGTCGAGAACCAAGGTCAGACCATGTAACATTCAATGAAACGCAAGCTGTAGACAAGATGACAGTAATGCCTACGTTACTAATGTTTGTACATCTGTTCATATCAAGGCACAAAGTACAGATTATTTACCATTGACTATGTCCTTCATAAAGGACGTTTGTATTTTGAGGAAAATGGCGGCTCAAGGATTCTTACGGTATATCAAATAGGTAGTACAAATACCTATCGTAAGTAAACAGGAATCAATGTTTAGTCATGCCAAATTGTTCGTCAATAAGTCACTGTGTAATGCTACTGAGGTGAATAAATCCTTCTTATTATTATAGTTTGTTGGAATCATTATTTGTCTTCTCCAAATTAGAATGGGACAGATTTATCGATATTATACTGATCAGTCAGCCTTTATTTGACTCGCTACGTGACTAAATACGAAACGTTGTTTTACGACATTCTGCCAGACACGTTCGAAATACAATACAAGCGCAAAAATGCGAGATGTAGATTAAACATGAGATCAAATTCTTTGTGTAACCATAGAGTAGGCTTCTTCATATCGAACCTACTTTTAACTATAAACATACGATGATGTCATACTGTTTGTCTCTGGTATTGACTATGAACCAGCTTATAAGGTGGGTAAAACTAAAATGCAATAAGTAATAACTGACGGCATTGTTTATGAATCATCAGGATATGTCAGAACTATTTAAAACTTACTTATGTTATGTTAGCTGTAAAACTGGTTTCCATTGGACCAGTAGGCATCATTGTAGGTAAGTACCTACCTATGTTAGTACCTATACGGCTATACCTATGTAAGTACTTAGGTTCTACAACTATTTAAACATAGGTATTATAGGCAAGTACGTTCTATAGTCGCAATTGTTAATTTTAAAGTTTAAATTAACAACAAAAGACGAAGTACTTTCCCATACACGATTTAGTTATCGATTCGTATTACTTATTTTAGATGAATGTTAATTCAAAGCTATGGTCTGTTTTGTGGTAATTAAACTACGTAGTAAACAAGTAGTCAGTGTTTATAATTTTACGTTTAAAATTAGATTTTAATCGGAAAATGTGACAATTGATTTTAATAGTTTGTCATAATAGACTTGCGGTTAATTCATTTAAAATAACTGTACATTGAGTAAAATACGTAATTAACAACATTTTGACTTAAGTACTTATCTACCTGTTAGTACCATTGCTTACTTTGGTACCCACGTAATTATAGAATTTTATAGGGTCTAGGTATGTAAGTATTTAAAAACGAATACTATCTAGGTATAACTTATTGTTACTTCTTATAAGGTCGACAGTTCCATTTTTTTTTTGTTTTGAGAAGTATTCAGAACGCTAATAACAACTTACCTATTGTAAAATTAATTACAGAAGTTTTACATGAATTCTATCTTCAAATAACACAGACGGAGAGAGAAGACGTTGTCCATCTCTGTCATATTGCTTACGAAAGACAGAAATAGAAGATGTGGTAGGTAAAGTTTGTACCTACTTGTTATTTTAAGATTATTAAAAGAAAATCACGCGAATGTGATTGAAAACAAACTTTGAAATTAACCTAGATGGAATAGGTAATGATTTTTTACTTCATTCGTGCGTAATTTCTAGTAAAATAATTGTTCGAAACTATTTTAAAAGATAGCGGTAGCTTTCGCTTCTGATCTGACATTTGCAAAAATAGGAATTGCCGTAGCCACATGTGTAATGCGTTTATGAACTTTCAACTAGTTATGTTGTTGGTGGTCAAACGTAGGGTGTCAGTTTCACTGTTGGCTGGTCAAGCCATCAGCCGTCTACCGGAACACGATCCAAACAAACCGGTTGGAAGCCCGCCCTTTCCCCAACTCACCGCGACCACCAAGTTGAAGAAGAACAGCACATATTTCACAAAACTCGTTCCACATCCCATCTTGAATGAGTTGTACACACTGTTGGTATATGTTCACACACAATCGCACTATGTCACTCGCGGTTACTTGTTTATGTGAGCGGAGCGCGAGCGTGACCCACCTGCTTTGACGTTGGAAATGCTACTAAAGAAAAATAAGCAAGAGATCGCGATGGCGGCGCGTCCCCCCCGCAACCCGCTTGGGTTCCATGAATCATGATTAGGGTGACCATCTGGGGGTTTACGTTGAGTCAGTACCCGTTAACTACGTATGTTATGACGTTTGGTGGTGAAAAAATATGTTAATTACTTTGGTATTCCTTACTAGACAATATCTGACGCAAACTCTTTTGATCTTTATTTTCGAGTTCCTGACTACGAGACGAGGAGACCATTATAAATTATCGGAAACTATGTATATTGAAGTTTAATTTTATCACATTATTTCTCCTATATGAAAATGCCTAAGATAAAATATGCCTCCTTAAAATAGTAAACAATATAAATAATGAGATCCATTATTTCAGAGATATTGAATAAATAAATACTACACTACAAATCCTTTGTCCTTGTCCCTTTTGAAAGTCTCGATAAAATTCGGAGCGGTATGGTAGTCCTATTCATGACCCCTCATTCACCTGACGTCTGTCTCGCTTACACTTTAACACTCGCACCTAAAGTGATTCTCTATCCCGCTCGCACATTTCATCTCAACAGGATCTCTTTCAAGTAGATTTGGATGAAGGTATTTTTTTTTTCTATTATATCTTGGATACTCAGTGATTAAGAAATATTTTGTGCAGGTATTTGTATTGTTGGTGCAAGGGTTTTATAACTAGCTGGTTTTCAATAAGTACCTATATAGATAGGTAAGTGACTAGTAGGTATCTAAATTAATCAAGATATCAAGTAGACATATTAGACCCATATTTTAAAAATGTAAGTATACCTCTTTGTTAATCCTATAACTAAAACATACCACCATAGTATTTTTTTAACATAACAACACACTTAACTAGGGTTTTCCTTTTTTCTTGTGCCCTGGGTGCGTTTACTTCACTACACAAATTCCGATACATTAATACTCAATTCTCTATTGCTTTCCACATGTTTGACTTGGTGGCAAACATAGTCTTACCTGGTAGGTCTGACTGATACAGACTGATAGTAGCCCAATCAGTCTAGCCACTGAGAGACGAGAAGACAGAAAGACAGCAGCGACCTCTAAATATCGCTGATGAAGTATCTAGCTAGGTGGAATCGCCAAGCTGCCTTCCAAGCTTGGGGATAAACGTAAAGTGTACTTCATTTTCAACTGGATTTACTCCGTTTCAAGATAGGTATTGATGGTGATAATAAAATTATTGTTGATTATGATTATGACTGTTTTAGTTCGCAATAGGTGCGTAAAACTTTAATTTATTTTGCAATTACAGAATAGTTGAATTGAAATGTTTATTCAGATTCGACGTGTACATTTGCCATATTGTAAGTCCATTATGATGTATTTTAAGGACTCGGACGAGGAAAGTAATGAACAATACTTCAAACAATCAGGCACATAACAATACCTGCGTACCAAACCAGACGTCAGTACTTACGTGCGCGGGAAATCTCCATTTCAAAATCATTAGCGTTTAAATTAAAAAAAAACTTTGGCGGGAAAATCATAATAATATATGACCACAGAATAACGATGACATCAACTGGCGGCCATTATGCAAAAGGCAAAAATCACTCCATAAAATGAAAAGTAATAAATAAAAATTGTGAATACATTTTCGCAATTTCGTCGTCAGACAGGCAACTTTAAGAATACCAATGTGGTACCTAGGCAGGCATGTAGTTATGTCGCTTTCGAGTCGCCATTCGACTAAGCAAAAAGTGGAGACTTCGTGCCTTGACCATAAACAAGCGGTAAAGGGAGAAAGTTTGTAAGAAGTCGCGAACACTTTCCAATACGTGTTTATGCCCTTTAGGTGTACGCAAGATTTTAGCGTAATAGCGTTTTTATTGATGATGTTATTGATTTATTATTTATTGTCTTGAGGTTGGAAATAAGTGTAAGGCAACTCACTGAGTTATGTATATTCTCTTATAGTAAATAGTACAGCTTCTACTTACCTACCAGGTGGGATGGCAGGTGGATAGGTAAGATAGTATGAAGACTACTAATACGTATTCAGATATTTCTTAAAATCTGATAAAATTAAAACAAATGTCTGAAAAAATAATTAACCTAAAATTAGTAGTAAACAGTAGAAACCTTGTACAATGGATAAGGTCACGTAAAATAGACCAAATAAAACGATAAAAATAATACAGCATCATTTATTGGTATTAAAACGTAGGTACAAAAACAATATATTATTAGGTATAAATATTTCTTAACATTAACAAATTCGTCAGTTGGTAGACGGTAGGGTACTAAATACTAATTATAAATCACATTTATTTAATGCACACAACCCACACACGCACTATTCTAAAACTATAAATAAGTATAGGTAAAAAACCTTTATAAATACCTAACCTTAAAAACTATGTTGCATTTGTAATACATCAATAGCCCTTGACACTGTCCACACTGGACTATCGACCTCTTCTACATAAAGGGTTTTGCTTCCCAATAAATACCGAAATACGCCCATGGTATGATGGTAATCACATTTTTCCAGGGACGGATTCGCTTATCTTAGGCTAATTGAACCGGGCCCCAGTAACCCTACCGATTTTTTCAATCATCTTATACTTTATGTTAGCAGTGAAAATTTTTTGATCCGCCCTGCGTTAGTATGAGATTAACTTTAGAAATATTAATATAAAATGAAAGGTGTCCGACATTAATAGCTTTGGCAGAAATCGAGGAAAACGAATTTTTTATTAAATGTTGCCGTACATTCATTCAAATACATCAGTTCTAAATTAACTAAAAATCGCGGGTTACTCACGTGAACATACTGAGAAAAGCTCTACTAGTTTCGAACCACAGAGGGGTTCTTCCTCATAAGCAGCGTGCGCGGTCGCGGCGATGTCGCGCAGCCTACGGTAGGTATATTCACGTAAGTAACCCGCGATTTTTAGTTAATTTAGTATGTCTCACGATAGTAATTATAAAATACATCAGTTCTGTCTGAAAATTGCATTGTTGTACGCAAATAGAAATCAACTTTTAGTTAGCAACCTTAAGGTTTCGACAATACTTACATGACAAAGTAAAAAGATATAATTCTGCCAATGCAAAGCATAGATTTTAAATATTACATATTTAATTATGTACTCAATTTTCTCATACAAAATAAGGTTCCTAAGTACTTGTAACTTTAATTCATAAGTTTGTTGAATCACATAGTGTTGTTGTTGTTTGCAATTGAATTGCACAACCTCGATGAGTCGGGACTGGAGGAAAATCGTTTTCCTTGTACGTTTGAGACGTTACAGTTACCTTGTAGACTACTGACAAAATGACAGCACACAAATATGTAAGTAGTATGCTATACAAATACATACATCATTTTGTTTAAATAATAAAGGATGGACTGAAAACACTTTTCGGCTTTATAGCAACTCATTAACCACAAATATTACATCATAAAATTCCTTCCCTGGCTAAATAGGTTCAATACCTTATTTTTTCAAAGCTGCCTAAGTGTCATAGGCAATTACGGCACCCTCAAACCCCGTAAAAGGACGCCTTTTTAAGGTAAAATACAATATAATCAAGAGAAAACTGCGACACTTCACGCTGTGCAAAGAGATAATGTGTTGTTTACCAAGATTGTTAATGTTTCTCATAAAACCGACTCATAGATAAAGTTACTGTTAATTACAAACTAATATCGTAAAGTCGGGACAAGTCATCCGTGACGTCATTCAAAACATTTGTCATTAAACAAGATGTGCCTGATAAAAAACCTATTCATTTATGAGACCTATTTAATTGTGTGGGCAATGAAGTAGCCTGGCGAGTACAAAATAAATGAATCCTGTACAATAAACTAATTAGTATACGATAATGTACCTTGATGTCTATCACCATTATACATTTATACAGTATATTAATTAAGTATACATATATAGAATCTGGTGTTACTATGTGGAAATCCATGCTGCACTAAGAACTGGGAAAATATTTAGTATTTTAGAATTAAATTGTATGTTTTTAAAATATTGTCGTCATTCTAGAGAGAACTGCTTATAACCAGAAGGTTAACGAAGTCATTCAGGAGAAGGATATCGAATCTCTCAGATCCGATGCAACAAAAAAATAAAATCTTCAGCGGAATAAAAACTAAATATTTTCCCAGTTGTTAGTGACCTGTGACAGTAAGTAACAAACATTTTTAAACAAACAAAAAAGTACATTATGTTATATTTAGGTGTTTCATGTATAAAATAAAAAATAAATAATAATAAATTCCTTTTTTGTTAAACCACATGGCCTGTGGTGGTCACATAACTTTCCTTACTAAATATCAGAGGTTATTTGCTTGTAATTCAAATGTAATGTATTAATAACATCGTATCAACAGTACTTCTTACTTCTTCCCAATACGGTCTTCATAAGCTTAATCTTTTTTTTATTTCTTTTTAAATAAACGTCACAATTTTATACTCAGAGTTTTTTTAAAGAAATGTAGCACTTTTACGTACAACAATTTGACTCAATAAGGCAGTATAGAATCTAGTAGCTGTGAAATACATAGTTATATTCAGTAGCGTCTATTTCCAAGACGTGCTTCTATAAAATCCCAATGGCCAAGGTTAATTACGTCCTTTGAAAACATGCCAATTAAGGATGTAAGTATTCATTGTATTCAAATTATGATACATTCATTCTTAGCTCTTGGACCAAAAAGTCATATTACGTAAACATTGACAGGTGACTGGGCAAAGTAAAATACATAATATTATATATCCCTCCCTACTTTTCTTTTAGATGCAATAAGAGCCTACTAAATGTCAAAGGAGTACAGAGACTAGCTAGGCTATACTGCAACTGACAAGTTGAAATTTTTTAA